CCAGGTTGACACACAGGATCCAAGAACTTTCCAGACAGAACTGGGCTCACTAGATCTCTCCTACAGAGCAAACGCGATGGAAGAGACTTTATTGTTACTGTGACTTTCCCTGTGAGTGTGGGACACCTCTGAATGGGCAGGGCCTCAGGGGAACTTTCCACTGAAAAACGACCTCCAAGCAAGTGCTTTCAGGCAGTGTGTGGCTCTCAACACGCAGGAGGCTGGGAAAGCCATCTCGCTTGGAGGAAGGAAAGACATCCACAGTGAGTGTGTTTTCAGGCCTCTATCTTGCACCAACTGTATCGCTTCTCAGACGTCAGACCTCCAGGGCTGCTTCGAGGGCCTATATTACAGAGTCAGACCCATGTGTCACCCTGCACTTACCAAGCCTTGCAAACACATTCCTAGGTCATAGCGGTACAGGCCATGAGAAAGCAGTGTGTGGGAGTGTGTTGAAAATGCTGGGTGCCATACTGTGGTGACCTCATCAAGGTCACCTTGCACCTCAAAAGGGCTCCAGGAGAGGAGTTGGGGGCCACCCCTTGCTTCAGAAATCCCCAAGGGGGAGCAAAGCTAGCTCTGTCATAAGGAAGAAAACAGCAATCGGATGGATTATCAAGAAGTTGCCAGGCTGCACCGTGTTAGGGCTCCCTGAGAGCAAAATATGAATTTTGTCCCCTAGGCCTGGAATACAGGTTGAAACAGGGTGTGTCCACACAGGATCCAAGAATGGTCCAGACAAACCTAGGCTCACTAGATCTCTCTTGCAGAGGAAATGTGATGGAACAGACATTTGGATGTTGATTTGACTTTTCCTGTGAGTGTGGGACCCCTCCCAAAGGGCAGGGCCTCAGGGCCCATTGCCACTGAGAAATGACCTCCAAGCAAGTGATTGCCAGCAGTGTTTGACTCCTAACAGGCAGGAGGCTGGGAAAGCCATCTTCCTTTGAGGAAGGAAAGGCATCCACAGAGTGTGTTTTCAGGCCTCTACCTTGCAGCAAGTATTTCACTTCTCAGACATCAGACCTCCAGGCCTGCTCCGAGGGCCTAATTCCAGAGTCAGGGCCATGTGCCTCCCTGTAATTGCCAAGCCTTGCAAACACATTCCTATGTCATAGTCGTACTGCCCATGAGGAAGCAGGCTACAGGAGTGTGTCTGAGGGGGGCGGGTGCCATTCTGTGTTCACGTCGAGGTCACCTTGTACCTCAGAAGGGTCACAGGCAAGGGGTTTCGGTCTGATAGGGGAGGTGGGTAAAGCTAGCTCTCTCAGAAGAAAGAAAACAGCAATTGGATGGATTATTAAGAACTTGCTAAGCCTCACCGCATTAGGGCTCCTTGAGAGCAAAATGTGAATTTTGTCCCCAAGGCCCAGTATCCAGGTTGACACACAGCGTGTCCCCCCACAGGATCCAATAATATTCCAGACAGACCTAGGCTCACTAGATCTCTTCTGCAGAGGAAACGTGATGGAACAGACTTTGGATGTCACTTTGACTTTAGCTGTGAGTGTGGGACCCCTCCCTAGGGGCAGGGTTCTGGGGCCATTGCCACTTTAAAATGACCTCCAACCAAGTACTTTCAAGCAGTGTGTGACCCTCAGCATGCAGGAGGCTGGGAAAGCAATCTTCCTTCAAGAAAGAAAGGCAGCCACAGAGAGTGTGCTTTCAGGCCTCTATCTTACAGCAAGTGTTTCGCTTCTCAGATGTCAGACCTCTAGGCCTACTCCAAGGGCCTAAATTATGGAGTCAGGGCTGTGTGTCTCCCTGCACTTTCTGAGCCTTGCAAACAAATTCCTAGTTCAGAGTGGTCCTGCCCATGAAGAAGCAGGCTCCGGGTGTGTGTCTGAGAGGGCCAGGTTCCATACTGTGATCACCTGGTTGAGGGCACCCTGCACCTCAAATGGGCCCCCAGGGAGGAATTGGGGGCCGCCCGCTTGCCTCAGAAATCCCAAAGGGGGGAGCAAAGCTAGCTCTGTCAGAAGGAAGAAAACGGCAATTGGACGAATTTTCAAGCAGTTGCTAGGCCACACCACATTAGGGCTCCCCGAGAGAAAATTGTGAATTCTGCCCCCTAGGACCAGTATCCAGCTTGACACACAGGGTGTGTCCCTGTAGGATCCAAGAATGCTCCAGACCATCCTAGACTCATTAAATCTCTCCTGCAGGGGAAACATGATGGAACAGACCTTTGGATGTTGCTTTGATTTTCCCTGTAAGTGTGGGACCCCTCCTCCCTAGGCACCAGGGCTCAGGGGCCACTGCCACTGACAAATGACCTCCAAGCAAGCGGTTTCCAGCCGTGTGTGACTCTCAGTCCACAGGTGGCTGGGGAAGCTATCTTCCTTGGAGCCAGGAAAGACAGCCCCAGAGAGTGTTTTCAGGCCTCTATCTTACAGCAACTGTTTCATGTCTCAGACATCAGACCTCTAGGCCTGCTCCAAGGCCCTAAATTCCAGAGTCAGGGCCATGTGTTTGCCTGAATTTTCAGAACCTTGTAAACACATTCCTAGGTCATAGCAGTACTGCCCATGAAGATGCAGACTGCAGGAGTGAGTCTGAGAGGGCTGGGTTCCATACTGTGGTCACCTCCTCAAGGTTACCTTGCTCCTCAAATTGGCCCCAGGCGAGGAGTTGCGGGCCACCCCCTTGCTTCAGAAATCCAAAAGGGGAGAGCAAAGCTAGCTCTGTCAGAAGGAAGAAAAGAGCAATTGGATGGATTTTCAAGCATTTACTAGGCCGCACTTCATTAGGGCTCCCCAAGAGAAAAGTGCGAATTTTGCCCCCTAGGACCAGTATCCAGCTTGACACAGTGTCCCCGTAGGATCCAAGAATGTCCCAGACAGACCTAGGCACACTAGATCTCTCCTGCAGAGGAAACGTGATGGAACAGATGTTTGGACATCGCTTTGACTTTCCCTGTGAGTGTGGGACCCCTCCTCCCTAGGCACCAGGGCTCAGGGGCCATTGCCACTGACAAATGACCTCCAAGCAAGCGCTTTCCAGCCATGTGTGACTCTCAGCCCACAGGTGGCTGGGGAAGCTATCTTCCTTGGAGCCAGGAAAGGCAGCCCCAGAGAGTGTTTTCAGGCCTCTATCTTAGAGCAAGTGTTTCACTTCTCAGACGTCAGACCTCCAGGCCTGATCCAAGGGCCTAAATTGCAAAGTCAGAACTGCGTGTCTCCCTGCACTTTTCGAGCCTTGCACACACATTCCTAGGTCACAGCAGTACTGCCCATGAGGAAGCAGGCTGTGGGAGCGTGTCTGAGGGCCAGGTTCCATACTGTGGTCACCTGGTCGAGGTCACCTTGCACCTCAAATGGGCCACAGGCGAGGTGTTTCGTGCTGCCCCCTAGCTTCAGAAATCCCAACGCGGGGAGCAAAGCTAGCTCTGTCAGAAGGAAGGAAACAGCAATTTGATGGATTTTCAAGCAGTTGCTAGGCCGCATCACGTTAGGGCTCCCTGAGAGAAAAATGCAAATTTTGCCCCCTAGGTCTGGTATTCATTCAGCTTGACACACAGAGGGTATCCCCGAAGGATTCAGGAATGTCCCAGACAGACCTAGGCACACTAGCTCTCCCCTGCAGAGGAAACTAACACAAAACTGGAAATCAACTATATTCCAATATAAAAGAAACATCAAATTTAAAAAATGAAGTTGCTCCCATGCCTTCAAGGAGCCTCAAAAACCTGGCCTACAGCTGCCTTCGGAATGCAGCCTCTACAACCCTGTCCCTGACTCCCTCCATCCCTGCATGTTACTGTTCTAACATCTTAATAGTCAATTATAAGAATTAAACCTATTGACAGCTGCACTAAGCACTTCTACAAAAACATCAGTTAACTCATTAGCTATAACGACTCTGGGAAGGAAGAAGCTAGAAATATAAGTAAGCAGCAGGTCTTCCAACTCCACCTGTCCTCATACATCAGACCATGGCCCCTTCTCTGGTGCAAACACATCAACACAGAATAAGCCTCTTACTTCACTCACGGTGCATACACAGATGGTGATAGGTAAAACTTGGATAGCTCTTCTTAGACAACCATGAGATTATTTGCTGCTTCCATAACTTTCAATACCTTTTTGTAATGTTTAAAATAGTAAGATAGGGTGAAAGACAATGAAAAACACTTATTATCACTAAATACATATGATGTCATATCTATCACTGTTTTCAAAAGTTCCTTGTACTAAAATAGGACCCCACATAGAGCAAAGTGTTAATTTCCTCACAAGAATGACATCCAAAATATGGTCTCTGAACTGCCTGTACTTTTCCTCCTTACCGCCAGTGGAAGTGATAAACTACCCTAACGATTTATCAAGGAAGTGAAATCATTACCAAAAGTTAAGAGTATCTATTGTTAGTAACAAGAGGTATTTTTTTGTGGGGGGATGGGGTAGACAGAACTTTTATAAGTTTATTTTGAAGAAGTTGCTTTTTAAAGTGTTCAAAATGTTTTTACGACTGATCTTGCAGTTTTCACAAACTGGAAAACTATAAATGACATGCAAAGGCCGTTGACAAGGCGCTGGTTTACAGAAATGAGAGTGGAGCCAGGAGCGGACTCTGACTGAGACACAGAAGGTGAGGACGGGCATGGAGTGGCGCACACGCTCCCCCCAGGGCAGAGGGACTCGGGTGTGCAGCGCAGTCAATGGCGGAGCACACGCCATCTTCCTGGCCTAAAGCGCATTCAGAGGAGGGTGCCGGCTCCTCCAATATAGTTGCAATAATTTTGAGATCAATTCCTATGGAAAATATTAAAGGCCTCTCCTTGGATGAGGTCATCGTATGTCCCTACCTGACTGCTGTAGACAAATGGATCTGAATTACAAATATTACTTTATCCAAGACATGAAAAATGTCATCCCTCCTCAAAATAGAGATGTATAGGCTTTCACAAGCCTCTACATTTTCTATGGTACATACTCTTCGTTTATAAAATACATACATACACAGATACATACACACACATAAATGAATACAGAAAATACCTAAGAGTTCATTTCCTTATCAGCCATTTCTTTCTGCTTTTGTTTGGCAAGGTGATTGGCCAGGATTCCCTCCTGTGAGATTCTGGCATTCCGTTCTCCAGAAAGCTGGTTCTGAGTGTCATGTCATTCTTCCATAACCTGGAGAGACACTATATGACGTTTTTGGGCCCATACCATTAAAAGAAAAAAAAAAAGTTAAAAGCTTAGAAGCAGAATATAAAATATATAAAACTGTTTAAAGGAAGTAGCCTTTTCAAGCACAAGGATCTTTATCTCACATGATTAACTCGGATCTTAATTTAAATGTCTGCTAAATTTACCACAGAGCAAAAATGTGCAGATATATTATTGTGAAAGGAAATTTCTTTACAAAGCATTTAACTAGTTTCTTCACAGTCTTAAGGCAAGTTAGACTGTACTTTAACATTTAAAAAGCCAAAATTAATACATGGATTGGAATTAAGATTATTTTGTCTAATGTATCAAAAGTGCCAATCATTATGTTAATAATTAAGCTCAAGTTATATCCAATCCTCCACTCAGAAAACACATACAGAGCATCTATTAGAAGCCAAGAATAGCAAGAAACTAATCACTTAAACTATGAATGTCACAGTTCATACCTAGGTTGAGATAACATTTTGTTTGAAATCTAAATAATACATATTAAATAAATGGGATATTATAAATAATATTGATGAAATGGTGTTAGAGATTTGAAATTTTCACCAACGCTTATATCTACCTGATTCAGATCATTTCTCAGTCTTCAGTTCCATCTAGTGCTCTGAGAGTGAGTTCAAGTTGCTGTTTCATTTCAGCTTCTTTACTATATTGTTCTTCCTTTCTTCTTAACTGCTCCCTAATTTTTTCATATAACATGTCAGCATTTCTTCTATTCTCTTCTTCTTGCTTTAAGGTCAATCTGCAAAATTTATAGAGCTCTTCCTAAAAAAAAAATGAGACTATTCACTGCTGCAGTAACTTTCATTCCCTCTTCATAATGTTTAAAATAGTAAAATGGGGGGAAATACAGTGAAGAACACTTAATAATGATCACTGTTTTCACGCAGAGGGTTAAGAATAAAACAGTATAAATATTTTTTTTCTGTCTTGAGAAACATGGCTACTTCATACTTCTGTGGGTGGAAATGAAAAGTAATCTAAACTTTCTAAAGAATAGTTTAGAAATATGGATCAAAGACTATTTCTAAACGTTCTCATACTTTAACCAAATAATACACTATTATTAAAGAAAATGAATTCAAAATAATTAGAAATGTAGAAATGAATCTGTAGAAAAGATGTTCCTTGTAGGATTAAACATAATACAGAAAAGTGAAAAACAATCAAAAGTCAATCTGTTGAATCGTGAATGAGGTTTCCGTTATGGTGGACTCCTGTATGATCATGAAAATGATGATTTGGAAAAATATACATTAAGTCATTAGAAGCATTCACTGTTAAGAACTTACATTATTTCCATGAATTTCACACTCCACAATACTAACAACATATTCTCCCTTGTAAAATTCCAGAGCATAAGTTAAAAATTATAACACAGCTATGTCTCTGCAGTATTAAAGTAAATAACAGTTCAAATGTTGCTTTAAAACTAGGATGTGGCTATTCGAAGTTTTTTGTATTTCCATACAAATTGTGAAATTATTTGTTCTAGTTCTGTGAAAAATACCGTTGGTAGTTTGATAGGGATTGTATTGAATCTATAGATTGCTTTGGGTAGTATAGCCATTTTGACAATATTGATTCTTCCAATCCATGAACACGGTATGTTTCTCCATCTGTTTGTGTCCCCTTTGATTTCTTTCATCAGTGTTTTATAGTTTTCTATGTATAGGTGTTTTGTTTCTTTAGGTAGATATACTCCTAAGTATCTGATTCATGTCAATGTATGACAAAACCCACTACAATAATTAGCCTCCAACTAATAAAAATAAATGAAGAAGAAAACAAAAAACAAAAAAACTAGGATGTGCAGTATCTCAAGCTGCCAAGCTCTCATTGCCACTCCACTTTCTGATGCCCTAACTGTGATTCACTTCTTTTCTCTCAGACAGTTCTTTCTGTAGCTCATGAGCCTTATTTTCCAGTTTTTTAATTTCTCCTCTAAGTAGTTCACAGTGGCTTTTTTAAAGTTCTATTTATCTTTCACACAAAAGAATTGCATCCTGAATTTTCAACAAACTAACACAATCTGCAACAAGAAGAAAACACATAGAAACAAGAAACACATTGATATGAGTAATTTTTGAGTATAGAGGACTGTGCCTTTCATGTCCACTCCTCCATATACTGAACAAATATTGAGTGTCTATCAAGTGGAAGACATTATTCTAAGCTCTTCAGATAAAACAGATGACCCTGGCTCTTGTTTAGCTTGCAGTCTAGTAGAAGAGAAAGAGAAAGAAAATAATGACATATATAGATATACATATATATATATAAAATTATAAATTCAGGTACAGTAAGAATGATCATAGGCTCAGTGTATACACTCACTTTCACTGTCTTTTAATACAAAACATATTTATAAGATGCACAGCACTGTAATATATCCGTAGCTCTAGAGCAGTACTAGACAAGGTGAGCATGTATCACTACACTATACACAAACAGGCTTTGTATTGATATTTACACCACAGTCCTACCTTTATACCTCAAGCCAAGCAGTTCTACTTGCAACATGGAAATCTTAGAGTAAAGACATCACCATCCTGGGAAGTACTTTCAGATGACTGAGTTCAGTCATTCAGGTAGCTCACATCATTAATCTGTGCTTTGACCTACATATAAACAATACTGTTTCACAATGTCCTTAAAATATTTATAAAATATACTAACTGTACAAAGGTGATAAATAGCTCATCATTAAATGAAAAACAGACACTTCTTAAAAGGACAGATTTTTATCAAAACGATAATTTGATCAATAGTGTTTCTAAATTAAGTTCTCAAAGTGTATGTCTCTACAACATATGAAGATGTTCTGTTTTAACACTATTCCTTTTACAAAATATTTTTTACTAGGATAATATTTTTTGTAATTAACTTTTATATTATACCTTATTCTTTTCATTAGATGTTTTCTTTGCAGCCCTAAAATAACAAATGATTCTTTTCAGGCTAATATTAAATACTTAAAAATACAAACAATATCTAAACTTTGGCTTTTTACATAAAACCTTTGCACTGGGAAGTAATTTTTTATTAAAGGATTAAATAATAAATAAGAGTAGCATTATTGGACAAAGAAAATATATGAATAATACTAATAAAGCATTGAATTTAGATCAAAGGAAAAGGAAAAATATAACATTACTTGTGTTGTTTGATAGGAAGCAGCATACCAGGGTTTTTGGCAGTTGTCATTTTCAATAAGAACTACCTTTTATGGCAATAAAACCTATCTTGGAGGTATTCCTTAATTCCTTATAAGAAAGAAACCCATTTTTAAGAAAACCATAATAACCATGATATTAGCCTTCTGGGGACTTCCTATGCAACTGCTATGCATTATGATAAGCACTTGCCATATCTGAAGGCACTTTTGATCCTCACGGTCATTCTCAAAGAGAGGTAATGCATGAGGTCCTCTACACGGGGAAAGATGGAGCACAGAGAGGCTGAGGACCGTGCCCAAGCCCACAGCAGGTCACCAACAGACCCAGAATTCAAACCCAGGAAGTCTGGCCTCAACACTGCGGCTCCAAAGCATGCTGAGAAAGTGAGATTTAAATAAGTCTTTCTAACTAATATAATAGCAAATGAATCTATATTATTATTCCATGCCTACCAATAGCTATAAATAATTAATGATTTCTGAATCTTAACATATTTCTAAAAAAAATCAAACATCTTTCCATGTAGGGAATATTGGAAATCTACTTGCAATAAAGACTTGCTTTTTGTAAAGAAATTCATCAATAGGCATTCATGTAACCATTCTGCTCTTTCTTTATGCCTCTGACATGCACTTATTGAGCACACAAGATGTGTTAATGACACTCTTAGTATGGGAAGCATGGTTTTAGTAATTTATAACTTTATGATCCAAAAATAACAATTAATGAAAGATTGTCAATAGCTTTTTCTACTGAATATAAACAAAAATTTCCCCTTTTCCCAGGAATCTATAAACAATATGAAGTTAATATGATGTGATATTTCAGAGTACCTTACAAAACCGTAGCTACTCACGATGATACGATCATCCAGAATCACCAAGGAATGATTAAATCCTATTCAGTATAGCCTAAGTGTTTGTATATTCATGATTCTATAATTTTTAAAAATCTATGTATGATAGAATTAATTGAAGCAATCACCCACATATTCAATTACATAAGAATATTACACCTCAGAACCAGTGAACAAGTCCTTACCACAAAACTATATATGAACAGAAGTATTGTGTACAATTAGTTCACTGTAATTGTTTAAAGATAGTGTCATACAATCAGTAAGCTTTCTAACACTGGAAATGGAAACAAGATTCAACTCAATAAACGCGTCCTCTGCTGGCTCATTTCTAGCAGCATATATACGCTAAAAGCTCCCCTCTGAATATAAAATAGCAAACTCCTCTGAACTCCCTACTCCTCTTCGGTTACCATCCAGTTCTCCACCGCCTGTCCCAGGAAATAGTGCCTGTGCAGCTGTTTACGTGTATTTGCTACAGTTCAGCTGCCAAGGGGACGAGTCACTGAAACGACTTCTGGCCCAGGCACTCGTCCTCACCTTACCCTTCTGCGGTTAGGTGAGAAATAACTTGCCTTAGCCGAAAATAGGAGAAAAACATGAACTCAAAACCCAATTTTGTCCCTGTTTGTTTGAATTAATTCACGTATATTAAATCTACCAAAAATGAATTAGGAGATGATTTTTAATGTTATAAATACTGGCTTCCCGAGCCCCGCTGACTGGCCCAGCGGACCCACCGCAGACCTGCCGACGGCCCGCGGATCTGCTATCCTTTCGAGTGCGCCATGTCTGGTTCATCCAGCATCGCAGCTATGAAAAAAGTGGTTCAACAGCTCCGGCTGGAGGCCGGGCTCAATTGGGTGAAGGTTTCCCAGGCAGCTGCAGATTTGAAACAGTTCTGTCTGCAGAATGCTCAACATGACCCTCTGCTGACTGGAGTATCTTCAAGTACAAATCCCTTCAGGCCCCAGAAAGTCTGTTCCTTTTTATAGTAAGATGAATCTTGACAAGGTTTTCCAAACCACTTTTCATAAACCAGTGAATATTCAAAGGAAAGCTAAATTTGAAGCCTGTACAAAAGCCTCTCTGTAACGTGCCATACCACACAGACTTCTACTTTTGTCAGTCCTTAATGTCTACCTCTATGAATATGCTTAATTTACTGTTTCACAAGGGTAATTATTTTATATACACTGATAGCAGCATACAATAAAATACTTAGTATAAAAAAAATATTTCCTCTCACTGTATCTTAAACAGGGAGTCCCTACAGCATATTTGAAAGCTTTTTTTTTTTTAAAGGACTAATATCTGGAGAACAGACAAACTTTACATTACGAGAAGCCAAAATCTATTAACACCAATCAGAAAGAGAAACCAATTCCTAAATTAATGCAAATTATATATAATGATAATGTTATACATCAATACATATTACCTGCTTAAATTCAGTTATGTGTGTACTCAGTCCTGTCTGACTCTTTGCATCTCCTAGGACTGTAGCCTGCCCGGAACCTCTGTCCATGGGGACTTACCAACCAAGAACATGGAGTGGGTTGCCACAACCTCCTCCAGGGGATCTTCCCAACCCAGGGATTGAACCCAGGTCTCCCAACAATACTGGAGTGCGTATCCTAGCCTTTTCACCGGGGGAATTTCCTGACCCAGGAATTGAACCGGGGTCTCCTGCATTGCAGGTGGATTTACCAGCTGAGCTACCTGGGAAGCCCCTACATTCAGTTATATTAAATCCTAACAGCCACTGATGAAAGTGGATAAAGCATTTTTAATAATATTTACTGATTTCCCACCTGGAAATGAAGTAAGTTATAAAGTTATTATTTGTACCCTAACAACAAAGGTCCAATCTAGAAGGTTCAATTCTTTTAATAGGCAGTTGGGCTGATTCTATGATCTACTCTGTTGCTGAATGTTCATCCCTAAGTCCATCCTAAAGGAGGTTAGTCCTGAGTGTTCATTGGAAGGACTGATGTTGAAGCTGAAACTCCAATACTTCGGCCACCTTATGCGAACAGCTGACTCATTTAAAAAGATTCTGATGCTGGGAAAGGCTGAAGGTGGGAGAAGAAGGGGACGACAGAGGATGAGATGGTTGGATGGCATCACTGACTCAATGGACATGAGTTTGGGTAAACTCCGAGAACTGGTGATGGACAGGGAGGCCTGGCGTGCTGCAATCCATGGGGTCACAAAGAGTTGGACATGACTGAGCGACTGAACTGAACTGAATTGAACTGAAGTCAACTATGCTGAGATATCAGACAGAATGAATCTTTAGTCTTGGCATCAGTGACTGGCAATTTCAACAGAAAACCTTGACCACTGGCAATGATTTCTCTCTACGAATATCTAGGTCAGGGACCATCATTGTTCTATTGTTCATAAATTCAACACTTTAATCCTATGATTTGGTATTTGATCTCACCTTCTTTACCATGTAAAGAAATTATAAAAATGGAAGAAGTAAACAGTAGTCAGGAGAGTTTTTTTGCCTCAATTCCAAAGACAAGCTATAAATTACAGTAGACTCTAACAATATTTTAACTTTTCTAATTGAAGTGCTATAAAAACTTAAGTGATCATCTGTCAATTCTAAAAGTCTACTTTTGAAAGGTAATTTTATTTGTTATGAACTTTGTTGCAAACTGTATTATGTTGTTAAAGAATAGAAAATAGTATTAAACCAGAAATTTAAATTTACACTTTCACATACCTGTGAATGGTTATTTTCATCTCCATCATAATTTTTCTTGTTCTTCCTCTCATATCAGTTCTAAGTCTAGTTCTGCTGACACATCTGTAAGTTTTGTTAAAATTACCTAGAATATTTATATAAAAGACAGAAATGTTTAAAACAGATTTAAAACATTGTATCAAATGACAGGTTATATCAATCTTAATCTTCAGCTGAATATTTACTTCTTTAAGAAATACTTCCAATGATCTAAAACTTCAAGAAACCTTTTGAGAGATACCAGAATTCATCAGGTTACAGGCACACAAACATCTCAAAGATTCATTCATAAATTCATCCAAACATCAGTGAACAAAACAATCAGAAACCAAACAAAATTTCAAAATACTGGACAGACACATAAAGCCACAGTATCTTCTCTTCTCTACTTCATAACAGGACCTTTATAACAACATGCCAGGCTTCAACTGCAACATTATTCATGGTTTACAAAATTCCTGTTACTTTTTTTTCCTTTTCTCAATTCCTTAAATTGAAATGCTTCTTTCCCAACAAATTATTTTTCACCTTTTAAGACTCAGCCTGCTTTGTAAAGTTCTCCTTGATTATAGCTGTTTTCTCCCCAGATAAACAGGTATCTCTTTCCTAAAGTTCCTTAGGATTTTATAGATTTTTCAAGTGTATCTTCATCACCTGAATGTAAGTTATTTCTTCACATGTCTACCCTCTCGGCTCTTAGACTGCAGAGGACAAGCTCTTAAAAATCACCCTGGTTTACATAAGTCTTTAGTTCTTTTATTCAATAATTATTTGGGGGGTTCCTGCTCAGTACTAGACACTGGGGTTTAAAGAGAAATGTAGATAAAGGGGGTCAGGGATTGCTTTTTGAGAGAGACTGCCTGAGCGCAGACTTCGGCAGTTCACGGAAACAGCGGGCAGGAGAGGGAGCGCACGAAAGGCTGCAGCAAGACGGCGACAGAAGCGCACGGGAGAGGGTGAACATTTGTCCAGAGCGCAGGGACGGGTGAGGGGGCGTCAGCAGCAGCTCAGGATTCCAGAGCAAAGGACAGAAAGGGCGAGACATGGAGAGTCAGGCGCAAGTGAGACTGTGAGAGCATCACGCGTCGCTGTAAGATGTCTACATATTAATGCGATTTGATGAGTGGTTTATGGTCACATGTGCTTTTAAGACAGGTGACTCTAAACACCACAGGAGATGGAATCTGAAGGGCATACAAATAAATGGAGGGAGAAGAATCTGAAGGCATTAATAATGAAAAAAAAAAGTGATGCAGGCCTGCACTGGCGAATGTTTCCAGAAATATTTAGGATATAAAACTTTCTAAGTCAAGTACAGAATAAATCTATATGAAATCAATACATGTATAAATCCTGGGACCCTAAAGGAGTAAACTCTGCCGGTTACTCTATAAAAGGTAGCGACTGAGAAGAGACTGAGAATCTGCATGAACTGTCTGAAGTTGCTTCTATTTATTTGGTGGTTTTCCTATGTCACATCTTCCAGTGTTGAAAGGATTCATGGAGGTGATTTATTTGAATTTGTGCTTCTTGGACCTACCAAGCTCACTGAGAAACAAAAGCAAACAAGTTACTTGTAAAGATGTAAACACACACACACAAACACTGAGTTTATAGCTTGTAGTCACTATTCTAGGAGATAACTGAGAATCTTGTAAATGCAAAGGTAACTTCTACAGGAGAGGAAAGAAAAGAAAAAAACAATAGGAGTGAAAAAAGAAACAGTGTATGATTTCTTACTATAGCTCTGATTGTATGACCGATTGAAGGCACTAAATTAATTGGTATTCACGGACAACACGTATTAGGTGTGGTTACTCAATAGACTGGGCATCCCAGTAGAATAAGAATTGCTTTTCTATATACTGCTTTTAAATGATACAGCACTCCTTAAAATCAACATTCCTTCTGAACTATTAATTCATTACAAATAATAAAACAAGTTGATTGACAGGTACAACTGAGGAGGTACTATGTAGCAATTTCCCATGACTCCCATTATCACTGGGAAAGCCAATTCTAAAATATATAATGTCATAGAAAACACAAGAAATATTTTAGCATTTGGCTTCAGAGGTGCTCCTGCAGTCATACTGAATATAATTTATAACTAATACTTATGAATTCAGAGCTATGTAAAAATATGGCTACGAAGCCACATTTTGAGAAGGCAAATCTCTAGATGTCTACCTAGGTATCCCAACTAGATGCAAAATTCTAAACACAATCCTGCTACCCACTCTCAGGTACCTAAGTGAATTTACTTTCTCCTAACTCTCTTTGTCATGTATTGTCTTACTATGGTCAGAGGAAGAATGCAAACACCTTTCTAAGAAATACTGTTTGGCTGCAGGTTGCATAAAAGGAGTCAGCACACAGTAGGTTTTGCCACAACATCTAATTTTGGAAACGTCGGTGCCCAGGTGGCCTAGGGCTGAGTGCTCTGGGCTTCTTCACTGCCTTGTTTGCTTTCTCTGTGTTCTGGCAGCTGAGACTTGCACAGCTGATGGAGCATGTGATTCCCTACCAGAAACAACACTCCAATATTCACCTTTCCTTTATCTATTAAGGTTGTCAAGGGAATGTGCAATTTCCTCGGTTCTGTCTTGTCACAGCAAAAATTTGAAGCAACAGACGTTAAACCTCTCGGCGCATCACAGCTCTCCGAAAGTGTTACAGCTCCATGTAACAGCTCAGTTTTATTTGGAAAATACATCCTGGAGGTGTGAGGGCATGCCGACCCAAAAGACGCAAAGAGACGAGAGGGAGAGAGAGAGAGAGAGAGTCAGAGAGCACACACATGGGGGAGACACCACCGGCCCTTTGGTTCCTCTTTTATATGTTTTTTTTCCTCCCCCTGGGCTTGCCCCATGTAAATTGGGCTAGCCAGGAGTGCTGTTTGTTCTACCTGAGGTCCTTACTCAGGTCCTCAGACCTTCCTTTGTTCTATCTTTGTGGGCTTCCTTGTCTTTTAGCCACCGCTGTTCTGGATTCTTTTTTCCTATTCTAACTACCTAACAAGGTCATCTGTTCCAATTTTGTGGATGCTGACTGATTTTTGGTCATTGGTTGTGAAACCAACAGACACTGATCATCAACTTGCAAATGTCTGGCTCTTTGACAAGTCTCATTACTGAGGCTCCAACTAGCAGAATCCCAATCTGAAAAATCTGAAAACAAAGTCTCCATTTATTAGAATGTGAGTAAGAATACAACTCTGACTACCTCCTACAAACTCTTATGTCAGAGAATCACTTCCATGTCCTCCTCTCCCCTCAAACTCACTACTCCTTCACCGCTTATTGTATCTTACATGTCACTGCCATTCATGAAGAGATGCTAACTAGTGTGTCTCATTTTACCTCCCTAAGGACTTACTTTCTTCCTTTCCTCCTTTCACTAGAATCTCTCTTCTCCAAAGGGTAATCTCTGGATCTGTGGTCTTAATTCTTCCCCCTTTACAGTCTTTCTATGGATCGTTTCCACCACTTCTTTTTCCCTCTTTGCTTAGCAATGGTATCTTACACCTGCACCTGTAATTGCTACTTCAACTCCTTGCTTCCCTCTGGCTATAAACACGCTCAGAAAGAAAAACAAAATAATGCTTTTTCTTGATCCTGTTATGTCCTGCACTATCCAATGCTCTAAAGGCAAGGCTACACCCTTGCTACTCAGAGAGCTTGTTAAAGACACAGAATCTCAGACCTCCTGCTCAGCAAGTGCACTTTCCACAAGGTCCCCAGGCAACTAATTCAAATGTGAGAAACTTTGGTCTACACTGAGTCTGCTTCTACATGACTTCAAATTAATTTATTCTTATAAAATCTTAGCCTCAACTTACTCTCACTCTACCCTCACTTTGGAGACACTTCCCTCCAAACTGAAACTGCATTAGAAGTTGGAAACTTTCCAGTGGACACTGTATCAGGTTGTAGGTTCCCTGATCTCCCCATCACGACCCCTGCTCTCTCCTTTCCAGTTCTCTTGTTTTGGACTACGTGACACCATCCTATAAAGCAGTAACATTTCACATGACATCAATTTGCACACATTTACAGACGAGTACCTATGCCCGTGTTCCTGCACAGAGGCTTACACACAGCTCTGCATGCCCAGGGACCTCAATCCTGAATGCCTTCTAACAGCCAGGAAAACAATAAGACGGGGAAAACTCTATTCTTATCGGACAAGCTCACTTCAAATTCATCGCCCATGTCAAGTACTCTCCTTTTTACTAAAGACCTATCTCATTCCTTGCCACCTTCCCCAGAGACCCTTTCTTCCATCTCCTTCACTTCATTTCCTCCCTGTGCCCTATGCCTCCCTCATCCTTCATCCCCTCTTTCCTCTTATTTCTCAACCTTCCTGAGGTTGTAGAATATCTTGAAACAGATTTTTTTTTTTTTTCCTTTTGGCCATGGATCAGACGGAATCTTAGTTCCCTGACCAGGGATTGAACCTGCATCCCCTGCATTGGAGAGTCTTAACCGCACAGAGTCTTAACCATTGGACCAGACCATCAAGGAAGTCCAGGACCTCATAACTTAGCTCCTTAAATGGCAATCTCAATTTAATCTGTGGCTGACACCTCATAAGATACACTATTTCCCTCCTCGTCTTTTCCGTCACTAGACGTCCAACAGGTGATTTTCTCTGGCTATTAGAATATGTCAGCAGTCCCATTTTAATTCAACATTCTGTCAATGAGTTTTCTGTCAAATCCAGTTCTTACCTTCTACTTGTCCATTTAATGTCTTTTTTCCTCTTTGGCCAGCAGCTCCAGATAAAGGATCCACACACTTCTGTGGAAGGCTCCCAGAGATACTCTGTTAAAATTAATACTCAGGTGCTTGAAGATTTCCTAAACCCTTTCTAAGAAAATACCCTACTTTTAAAAACTGCCCACATTTAACCCGGGTAAGACAGGTTTTGCCAAGATCCCACAGCTGGTAAGTGTCAGAACCAGGATGCTGACTTCAGGCACGGTGCTGGATCACCAGGCAGCAGCCGCCTGCAACGAAGAGAGCAGGCCCTTCCTCTCCTGGTGCCCCCTTCAAACAGGGCAGCCTTACTTTCTGTTTCTTCAAGTACGACTGCCATAAAGGTACTCTGCACATCCAAAATGCTTTGTATTATTAGCAGAGAAGTGAAAGTCACTCAGTTGAGTCTGACTCTTTACGGCCCCATGCACTATATAGTCCATGGAACTCTCCAGGCCAGAATACTGGAATGGGTAGCCTTTCCCTTCTCCAGGGGATCTTCCCAACCCAGGAATCAAACGGGGGTCTCCTGCATTGCAGGCGGATTCTTTACCAACTGAGCCACCAGGGAAGCCCTTGTTAAAACATCATTAAAGCAAACTGCTGTTGCCATAAGCCCACATATTTATCACTACCCCCCATGCTTCTGTGTCTCTTGAAATGTTCCTTGCAGATCAACTAGACAATCCAAATGCAGTAATACTTTCAAGTTTCAAGAACTATCTTTTCAAGGCCGAAGAGGTTAAATAAAAATACAAAAAACAATTCAGCCTATTTCTGACCCTCTCTAGCAGTTTTACACACACACACACACACACACACACACACACACACATGCACCAAAGAAACACTCATGTGGCTGGCAGGCTGGGACTGACACACACACTACACACTATTGTGAACGAAACATAACTAACGATGGCCAACTGTACAGCACACGGGACTCCGCATTCTGTGACAGCCCGTATGGAAAAAACGTTTCTAAAGAGAGCAGATACACATATAGACACAAAACTGATTCACTTTGCCGCACACCTAACACTGAGACAATATTGTAAAATCAGCTCTACTCCAATAAACACCGAGGGGAAAACGGAAGGAAGAAACACAAACATTTGGCTACAGACTGACCTGGAACAATGCAGCAGTTTTTAGATAAATGTCACTTCAGAAGCCAAAATGCAGGGTAGGAAAATCAGGATATTGTCATTACCCTCAAATTAAAAACGATTAGGAGGACGGCGGCGGCAGGACCCACGCACTGGCCAAGCCCACCGCTGGCGCCTCGCACCTTTCTCCCGGCTCCTGGCCGGGACCACGAGGAAGGGGCCCGGGTTCCACTGCCAACTGCCCGCCCCTCAGGCGAAGACGACCGCCCGCCCTCCCGGCTCACAGGGCTCCTGGGCGCCGGCGCCCGTTTCCCAATAACAGGGCACCATTTCTGGCTCACACGCGCCCTGCGGTGCCGGCTCGGCTCGCCGCTCCCACGTTCCCAGCTCACGCTCCCCACTCCCCCCCGCCCCCCACCCCGGCCAGGCTCGCTGCTCGCCCGCCGCCCTCGCCCCAGTGCGCCGGGCCGCGCTCCCGGCTCTCACAACCCCCGACGCCGGCCCGCGCTCCCCGGCCGCACGCCCCGCGCAGGCGCCCGCCCGGCTCGCCGCCCACACGACCCCCGTCCCCAGGCGCCGTCCGCTACTCACCGCTCACACGCCCCCTGCGGTGCCGGCTCGGCTCGCCGCTCCCACGTTCCCAGCTCACGCTGCCCGCTCCCCGCCCTGGCCAGGCTCGCCGCTCACCCTCCGCCCTCGCCCCAGTGCGCCGGGCCGCGCTGCCCAATCTCACAATCCCCGACGCCGGCCCGCGCTCCCCGGCCGCTCCCGGGCCTGCGCAGGCGCAAGCCCGGCTTACCGCCCACACGACCCCCGCCCCCAAGCGCCGTCCGCTACTCACCGCTCACACGCCCCCTGCGGTGCCGGCTCGGCTCGCCGCTCCCACGTTCCCAGCTCACGCTCCCCACTCCCCCCCACCCCCCACCCCGGCCAGGCTCGCCACTCACCCGCCGCGCTCCCCGCTCTCACAACCCCCGACGCCGGCCCGCGCTCCCCGGCCGCACGCCCCGCGCAGGCGCCCGCCCGGCTCGCCGCCCACACGACCCCCGCCCCCAGGAGCCATCCGCTACTCACCGCTCACACGCCCTCTGCGCGCCGCCGGCCATCGCAGAGGCTCTGCGTAAGTTCTCCGCCCGGCGCCTGCGTCGTGTTCTGCGAGAAGGCTGTGGAGCCGGCCCCAGGGCTGCCCCGCGCGGCCGAGGGAAGGCTGCCTGAGGCGGGGACTGGCGGGCGCCTCCCCGGGCCGCTACTCTGGGGCTGCACAACCGCGAGCGGGATGGCGGGTGTGCTTGTGGTTCCACTCCGTGGTTGTGGGCAGGTCGGTTTCGGTGACTTCCCGCGCCCGGGGGTCGCCGCCATTTCCTCAGCGCCTCCCGCCGCCCCGCTTCCTCGAAGCCGCTGCGCGCGCGGGCTGCGCGCTGGGCGTCTCGCCCCTGTGACGCGCAGATAGACCGAGAGACGGGCTGCTGGAGCTCAGGTGCGAGTTACACCGAGGAGGTGGGGACGCGGTAGCCCGGGCGTTAGGGCCGCGCCCTCAGGGCTGCGGTGAGGGTAGCCCCGCCGGGGAGCCGGCTATGCCCTCCCCTCCCCGCCGGGGAAGAGCGGGCCGCAAGGGGGCTCTGGGGCGGGAGGTTCGCTCTTCACTCACAAGGCTTTTCACGGGAGTGATGGGATATCTCTGTGTTTAGATAGCTGTCGCAGTGCTTATGGCTCATCTGGTAAAGAATCTGCCTGCAATGTGGGACACCTGGATTCAGTCCCTGGGTTGGGAAGATCCCCTGGAGAAGGGAAAGGCTACCCACTCCACTGTTATGGCATGGACTGCAACAAAGAGTCAGACTGAGCGAGTTTCACTTCACTAATTAAGGGGCTTCCCCACTAATTAAGGGGCTTCCCTCATAGCTCATTCGGTAAAGAATCTGCCTGCAATGCAGGAGACCCGGGTTCGATTCTTGGATTGGGACGATCCTCTGGAGAAGGAAATGGCAACCCACTCCAGTATTCATTGCTGGAGAATCCTATGGACAGAGGAGCCTGGCAGTCTGCAGTCAATGGGCTTGCAAGAGTCGGACACGATTTAGGGACTAAAGCACCACGCAGTCCTTAGGGGAATGGATCGGATGGAAGAAAGACTGGTTCTGAGTGGGTTATAATAGACAGCAAGAGAGATGGATGTGGTCAACAGCCCGGTCGGGGGTCACTGAACACCTAGTGTCCTGAGAGGACAGGTCTTTACAAGACAGGGGTGGAGGTGAGAAGAGTAGCGGGGGAGGGGAGGGGCCGCGTCTCTGGAGGCTTCTCTCAGGAAGCAGAGTAAACATCTGGCGGTCATCAGGAAGAGCCTTTGGGTAAGGTGAGTTTTGTTTTGAACAATCAAGAGCACTTTAATGTGACACTTGGGCCATTTAACAGATGGGGAAGCTGAACCACTGGAGTTACGCATCAAGTTAATGGGCTTGTCTGAACTTGCAGCTGTTGGAAGCGGAGTCCCAGCTTGAATTCTGTTCCAGTCTGTTATTCTTGCAACTTCAGGCAGTTACCTTATCTAAAAAGTTAGGAGACCACAGTGGGAGGTTCACTGGAGACGTAGATCGCAGAGGGGTGGTTGTTGTTCAGTCCGTAAGTCATGCCCCAGTCTTTATAACCGCATGTATTGAGGCCTGACACCAGGCTTCCCTGTCCTCCCCTGTCTCCCTGAGTTTACTCAAATTCATGTCCATTGGGTCAGTGATGTCATCCAACCATCTCACCCTCTGTTGCCCCGTTCTCCTTCGTCATATCCTCAATCTTTCCCAGCATCAGGGTCTTTTCCAGTGAGTCAGGTCTTTACATCAGGTGGCCAAAGTATTGGATCTTCAGCATCAGCATCAGTCCTTCCAAGGAATATTCAGGGTTGATATCCTTTAAGATTGACTGGATTGATTTCCTTGTTGTCCAAGGGACTCTCAAGAGTCTTCTGTAACACTACAGTTCAAAAGTATCAATTCTTTGGTGCTCAGCCTTCTTTATGGTCCAACTCTCATATCCGTACATGCCTACTGGAAAAACCATAGCTTTGACTATAGGGAGGGACTTTTGTCTGCAAAGCTCTCTAGGCTTGTCTATAGCTTTTCTTCCAAGGACCCAGGGTCTTTAAATTTCACGGCTGCAGTCACCATCCACAATGATTTAGGAGCCCAAGAAAATTTTGCCCCTGTTTTCATTTTTGCCCCATCTATTTGCCATGAAGCGATGGGACCAGATACCATGATCTTAGTTTTTGAATGCTGAGTTTTAAGCCAGATATTTGAGAAAGGTGTAGGCTTTCCAATATGTCTCCACTAGGGTGGGAAGACTAGGACACACGGGAAAAAAGGAGCCCAAAGGTGCAGACAGTGCCCACAGGTGCTGGCTTTTCAGACTGTTAGTCCAGCTGTCTATTTCGCTCAGACTTGAAGTGTTGGTTTCCCACTTTGGGAGGAGGCAGGGTGGAGGGGGGGATTCAGGGATGAACGAAGAATTGTAAAATCACTGGTTTTTCTGGGTCTTAGAGGGCATCAGTGCACCTTTTCTTGCAGTTGTGGCTGCCTTTGGGGGCTGGCCACTGGGAGAGCTGAGTTGGAGTTAGACTAAGAATTGGTCTTGATCTGATTGACCCCTCACACCCTGAACCCACACATGCTTTCAAGAATCATTTCTCCCTGGCAGATGGTAGCTGGTTTAGAGCAGGGACTCTGCCTTGTTCATTCCAGAATCCCTCATGGTTAGGTGCTGTGTTTGGCAAATTGGAATGATGCACTTTCTATCTGTAGAACTGATCATCTTTTGAGTTTTTAGGAAAATTATCTTGAGGTTCCAGGGGCTTACAGCTGGAGGTGGGAGCAGAAAATGATGCAATTCCCAGAGTAAATTTTAAAAATTTAAGTCTTAAAAAATAAATAAAAATTTAAATCTGAAAACTCAGTTGTATCTTTACAAGTTTATTTCATACTTATCTTTTGTATACCTGCTGATCTCCTAATTGTGCAAGAGTTTCAGCTGTCCTTTAAAATAATATTTGTGATAAAAGGAATATTTAAGTGAATGCTAGTAAATCAGACTTTTCCATGATATCTTTTTAACCAATTGATGAAAGAGTAGGTAAAAGTCATGTTTTCATTTTTCAATATAAATCATTTCTTACATCCAAGCAGCATTAAATAGTGTAATTTTGTCGTTATACCCGTAGTGCTAAAGCATTTTTTTTTTTTTGCTAATACATTTATTTTGGCTCTAACAGTAGATGGGTTGCTTATCATTGTTTTGTTTTGAGGTTTCTTTTGTTTTTGGTTGTTGTTTTTTTTTTTTTGATTGTCATTGTTATAGCATTGTTGGGTTTTATTTTGGTAAAAATTTTAATTGAAATATAGTTTATTTACAGTGTTTCAGGCATAGGAGTTGCCTGTTGACAAACATTGTGTAGCATTTATGAATTTTATAATTCTAGTATTTTTATCCTTCCAAGGGAAATTGTTTTAGAAATTTGTCAAAGTAGAAAGCGGAAAAACTCCTTTTACTGTTCTGTTTTCTATCCTAGCAGTGTGTAGGTTTTTTTTTTTTTTTTCAGTAGTAACCTCTTAAGATCCTTTTCCAATAAATAATAAGTTATTTTCATGCTTTTGTCATGTGTTATTACTTCTGTAGACTATTGGTTTTTTGTCATTAGTTTTATTGAGGTATAATTTATGTATAACACAATACACATTTTACTAGAGTTTTGACAAATGTATACAATCCTTATAACCAGCAACCCAACCAAGATTTCTGCTATCCCCAGGATTCCCTTTTCTCTTTTGTGGCACTGGCTACTTCCCATCTGCAGCCTTAGGTAGCCAAGGATTTTCTATCCCCTACAGATTATATTTGTCTTTTTTATTGTATTTCTGGAGTCCACATGCCAGCAATAGCAAGCTCCTCTGTGCAGGGCCAGTTAGAAGCATGCAGTGTGCGCGCCTTTCTGTCTGACTTCTCAGGCTTTAAGATTATCCTTAATGACTATGTTGATTGTGTATTTTGTTGGTAATTCATTCCTTTTATTTTTTTTAATTGTGGTAAGTGATACAAAACTAAATGTTGCCATTTCTAACCATTCTTCTGTGTCCACTTCAGTGGCATTAATTATATTCCCATTGTTGTGCAACCATCACCTCTATTTCCAAAGCTTTTTCATAACCCCAAATAAACTCTATAGCTTTTAAGCAGTAACTACCCACTCTTCTACCCCCTCAGCCTGGTAGCCTCTAATCTACTTTGCTTCTATGAGTTTGCCTATTCTAGACATTTCAGATGAGTTGCATCATACAATATTTGTCCTTTTGTGTCTGGCTTATTTCACTAAGCAGTGTTTTCAAAGTTCATGTTGTTGTATCTATCAGCATTTTCCTTTTGACTGAGTAATTTTTCATTGAATAGACATACTTTGTATGAACATAGGTTTTCGGTTCTCTTGAGTGTATACCTAGAAGAGAAATTGCTGGATAATAAGGAAATTTGAAATTTGACTTTTTGTGGACTCACAGGGCTGTTTTCTATAGGGCTGTACCCTTTTACATTCCTGCCTGCATTGGACAAGGGTTCCAGTTTCTCCCCATCCCCTGCAACACTTGTTATTACAGCCGTCTTAGTAGGTGTGGACGGACTATTGGTTTTTCATAAGATACATAAGCATAGACTGTTGCTACAAACTTGGTAGGGGAATTAATGAGTGTAATTGTATATGTTCCAGGAGGATGGGCTGAGGCAAGTTCTGCAGGAGATGAAAGCTTTAGACGAGCAAAACCTACCTGATGTGTAAGTTGGTAAGTTGATATTTTAAAACAGTTTAAGAAATATGATATTGATGTCAGATCATCTTAACATTAGTTTTTAGATATGATTTTTTTTCTTTTTTTAATTCTCTGTGAGCCTGGTCATACCCTAGCTATACAGAAGTAGAAGGATTTGTGTTAATGATTGTTATGTTTCTAGGGACGAAATAGTGCTTGGCACATGGTAGATGTTCGATAAATACTTCTTGTTTGACTGGTGTGACTTGAAAGGAATTAGGGTGGATCCAAAAGAGATGATCCAGGAGCAAGTAACAGACCTAATGAGTGAAGTGCATTGTTTCCACTGCTCGTTTTCATCAGGTGAGGCCTTAGTGGGTTTAAAGGGAGAACAGGCAGCTTGCAAATTTAGCAGGAGTAGCAGAGACTTGCGAAAGCTTGACTGAAGTTGGCTGGGAACTCGTGCGGCAGAACACTACAGCTTGGTGGGCTGGAGGATTCTGGAGTTGCGGACTGTTTAGAGCCAAGCGTGGGAGTGGGCACAGAGGAGAATTTGAGCTGAATGACAAACTGCAGAGGACCTGTGACTGGGTGAAGAATAAGACACAAGACTACTGACTGCTGGAGGAAAAATGAGTTATTGAGAGCTCATCCTGGAGAGAAGTCTGTCTGCAACTTGAGATTTCATCCCTGGCCTTGTTAGGTAGTGTTTTCATCAGTTAATTGGGCATAGAAATCAGTAGCATGTTGTTAGGGTGTGTGGAGTACACAGAACAGTAGGAACACTTTGCAGTGACTGTGTTACTGATGAGGAACTGATGTGCAAGAGGTCTGCAGTAAATGTAAGGGAAATGGAAAGTCCTGCACTCAGGTTCCCAAGTCCTTCATTTGTTCCTGCCACTCAGCAGTTAGGAGCTGATAAAGGGCTCTGGTGTTTCAATTGTAAACAGCAGAATCAAGAGGTTTGCCCCCATGGCCCTCAACAGTGTCATGCAGAAGGCAGGTGTTAAATGCGGGTAAAGTGGGTCAGAGTACCTGCTGGGAAGGAAAACACCATACTGGGAGGAGAGTCATGCTCTGAAAATATTGGTAGATTGTGAAATCTGGGAAGTTCTTTCTGAGGAATAGACTCTTCAGCTGGAGCCTGAAGAAGCAGGTTTTAGCGAGGAAGTAACTGTGGGCAGAGAGCATTCTAGTTGGAGGAAACAGCATGTACAAAGGCCCTGAGTCTTGAAAGAGGGTGGGATGCCCAGAGACCTGGGCCTTCCCAAAGGTCAGTGTGGCTGGAACTTAGTGAGCAGGCTGAAGGCAACACCAGGGGAGATTTCTAAGCATGTGGGCAGGTGGTGGCATGTTTGTGTTCTAAGGACGACCCTGGCCACCGTGTGTTTAGTGGATGGTGGGATCGAGAGGGAGGATGGTGGCCATGCAGGTGACAGGAGAGGTGAGCCAGACCAGGGGAAAGGAGAACAGTTTACACACCTGTTTGGGAGGTGACTGAACAGGCCTTGGTCCAGTAAGGGAATGATTTTCCTCTATTCGTACCATGGGGAAATTCATGATCCAAAATTCTGTGCCTTATCCTCCTAGTTTGGTTCTTGGGCAGGACACCACTATTACCAGTTTCTGGTTAAAATTCTTTGTCAGAAGAAATATATTCCTATTTAATTGCTCGCATGGAAATGTGAATTTTTTAAGGAAGTTCTTGTGTACTGAATCAAGTACTTTTTTTTCCATTTATTTTTATTAGTTGAAGGCTAATTACTTTACAATATTGTAGTGGTTTTTGTCATACATTGACATGAATCAGCCATGGATTTACATGTATTCCCATCCCGATCCCCCCTCCCACCTCCCTCTCTACCCAATCCCTCTGGGTCTTCCCAGTGCACTAGGCCCGAGCACTTTTCTCATGCATCCAACCTGGGCTGGTGATCTGTTTCACCCTAGATAATATATATGTTTCGGTGCTGTTCTCTCGAAACATCCCACCCTCGCCTTCTCCCACAGAGTCCAAAAGTCTGTTCTGTACATCTGTGTCTCTTTTTCTGTTTTGCATATAGGGTTATCATTACCATCTTTCTAAATTCCATATATATGTGTTAGTATACTGTAATGGTCTTTATCTTTCTGGCTTACTTCAAATATACAGAGTGAATCAAGTACTTTGGTGTTAAGTTGGGTGTATTTTATTTGTGCTATTCATTATAATCAAGAGCACATTGTAAGCAGTGTGGAGAATAAATCTAATGTCTCTAAAATGGCAGAAGTGTCTAGAACATATAGAAGACATGGTACATCTATGTACATGGTACAGATGTAGAAGACACGGGACATATATTTTGCCTCTATTTTCAGGGTCTAGAGCAGGCACGTACATTTTGTATTTATCTGTTCCCTTTTAACACTCTAAAGTAGATATTTATTAATTCTGTACATCTGGTTTTGTTTTGTTTTGTTTCTTTTCAGTTGTGGTTAAGATACACACCAGGTAGCTCAGTGGTAAAGAATCTGACTGCCAATGCAGGAGATGCATTCCCTGGGTCGGAAAGATCCCCTAGAGAAGGAACTGGTGACCCACCCCAGTTCTCTTTCCTGGAAAATTCCAAGGACAGAGGAGCCTGGCAGGATATAGTCCATGGTGTCAGAAAGAGTCAGACATGACTGAGTGACTGAGCACACATACCATTCAGTGTATTCTAAACATTCATAATGTCCTATAGCTATCACTACCACCACCTTCTCCAGAAATTTTCATTTTACAAAACTGAAACACCATACCCAGTAAACCATTGTACATCTGATTGGAAAGGGTGATGCTTGTCTGATATCAAAGGAGACACATATTTTATAGGGTAAAGCCAAAATTTTCTCCCTCTCTGTGTAAAGAACCCTAAAGTACATGCACAGAGTTGAAGATAAGGAATTACTTCTTGGATGAGTGGAGGAGCATTTGACTTTAGAGTCCTTTGCTCACTTTATGAGGAATTTGAAAGTATTGATATCATAGATATCATAGATATCTCATCCATAGGATGAGAGCATGATGTGAGGCCATAATCTTATGCACCGTGATATTTGATCTCTTATCCCATCATGAAAAAGGGATTCTAAAAAGTGAGGCAAAGATCGTCTTTTGGAGACAATGGAAATTAATCAGTGTACAAAACCCAATGTGCCACGTGGCTAAATGAAAGAATGGGAGTGTGATCCTAGGCAAATTAGTTAGGTATTTATTTATTTATTTAATTTAAGTTTGTGCACACAGTTTGCAGGATCTTAGTTCCCTGACCAGGGATTGAACCTGTGCTCTCAGCAGTGAAAGTGCTGTGTCTTAAACATTGGACCACCAGGGAATTCCCTGACTCTTTTCTATTTTATCCTATTAGCAAAAGCTCTGATGTGGAGGCAGGTAGGTTAACTACTAACACAAATGGCTAACAACAAGTATGGACTCAGTTGTTAGCTGGCTTTAAAAACTTGACTTGTTCTCAATAGACATTCTTTTCCTTAAATGTTTTACCAGGAATAATGCAAAGTCAAGTGGACGAGGTGATTTGATCCCAGCCATCAAGTTTCGACACTGTTCTTTGCTAAGTCAGCGCTGTGCTGGAGCCTGCCTGTGAGCTTCTGTGTTTGCGGGGGTGGCAGGGAGCAGGGGGTTCCCGTCCCAGGGGGTGTCAGAAATTCTTGGCGATGTCTCTCTTCTATGAGCATTCTGAATTTTCTCTTTGTTTCCTTTTAAACGTGTTTTATTATGGAAAGTTGCAGTATTCTTAAACTAGGGAATAATATTACAGCCCCCCATGGAGCCATTATATAGGTCAAACAGTTCTTAACATTTTGCCATGATTTCTTCATCTTGTTTTATGTGTCTAGGCTAAACATTAGGCATTTTACCGCTGAATAGTTTTGTGTGCATCTTTAAGAAATAAGGACCTTTGGGGCCTCTTCTCACTGCATAATTGACCTGTGACCACTGTGTAATTCTCCTGTCTAGAGCAGTGACCATCCCTTCACAGCATCCATCCAGTCTGTTCCTCTTTTCCCTGCTGTCCCGAAGGTGTCCCCTTGCAGTGGTTTGTTTGCCTCCGGAACCAAATCAAATCCACGTTGTTACCTTCTGGTGGTTCAGTCGTAAGCCTCTCCTGATCAAGACAACTTCTGATCCAATGCTGTATTAATGTTCTAGGTATGACCGGCTGCTTTGGATTAGAGCCCTCAGGTGGGGTTATGGCAGTGTCTTGCCAAGTGCTTTACGATTTCACATGTCTGCTGAAGACGTAAGTTAGCACTCTTGTTCAAATTTGTAAATTCGGAAACTGGCTGAGCTTCTGGCTCAGCTTCTATAATAATATTTATAGTACTTGTCTTTTTGTTTTAACCTTTGATTTTCAGTAGTTTTTGGTCTGTTTGAGAATGGTAGTAGTAATTCTAAATGCTGTATGGAAAACTACTATTAACAAAATAGGGTCCCGTTATGTTAGTTGCTAGAGATCCATCAGTAGGGTGCAAAACTGGCATCATTATTTGGAAATTTTTCATAAAATATGTGTGTGTACATACTTTGCTTGGGGCTTTCCAGGTGGCACTTGTGGTAAAGAACTTGCCTGCCAATGTAGGGGACATAAGTGATGTGAGTTTGATCCCTGGGTTGGGAAGATCCCCGGGAGGAGGGCTTGGCAACCCACTCCAGTATTCTTGCCTGGAGAATCCCATGGACGAGGACCCTGGTAGGCTACAGTCCATACAGTCACAGAGAGTTGGACACGACTGAAGAGACTCAGCAGGCACCACACACACTTTGCTTATCTTTGTGAATATGTGTGATGAATTCTTGATTTGTCCAGTCACTGAGGCACAATATTTAAGGACACAGGCTTGAAGGCAAGCAGACTCGTGTGGAAATATTGGCTCTGCTTCTGTGAGATCCTAGGTAGGAGGCTCCATCTCTCCCTGTGCCTAAATTCCCTCATTTGCAAAGTGAAAGTCATAGCATCTGCTGCAGTGACTTCAGACACTAACTCCCTAGTTAGACCAAACCTCATAGGTTAAGACTGCCCTCACTTCAGACACCAGCCATGGTTTGGGGGTTCCCAGGGCCACTCTCCCTTCTGACCAGCTGGCTGCAAATTCAGAGGTTCCCACTCTCCCCTCAGGTTTGAGGCTTTTAGCCTCTTGACATCATTGTGGAGAGGAGAGGGGAGCCAGGAGTAGGGCTCCGTCACCTGTGATTCAGTCCATCATAGTTTGATCCATTGATGCAGCCTATATCATGACACTACAGACTTCCACTGGTTGACACCACATCATGTGCATTGTTCCACGGCAGGGTGCTGGGAGGGTGGTGTGTCCTGATTCGTCAGGGAGAGGAAATCAAAGCTTCACATCTGGGACCCTCCCAGACCTCACCCTGGGTGTCTCTTCCTTTGGCTGGTTCTCATTTGTGTTCCTTTCACTACAGTACAACAGTGGACATCAGGACAGTGCTTTCCTGGGTCCCGTGAGTCGTTCTGGCCAAGTATTAAACCTGAGGGAGGGGTGTATGTGTGTATGTATGCACACACACACTTTACTAGTGAAGGTTATGAAGATGTTCTTCTGTACAGTCTTTTTGGAGTTAATCTTCTTTTGATTTTCACAAAGATATCCATGGTACTGGAATCGATTTTTGTGAATAATGTATGAGCCAAGTTGCATGTCTGTGGTTGGCGAGGAGAGGGGGAGCTTTCTTTTGTCTTAGTCTGTCCTTGTACCGATTTCATACTGTTTAAATGATTATAATTTTGTAATACTTCTTAAGTAAGTTTTCCCATTTTGTTCTTCTTTCTCAAGTGTCTTGACTATTTTTGGCTTTTTGCATTTCCATGTAAATTTTAGCCTTATTTGTCAAGTTTGATATTTTTAAACAATTGGAGTTTTGATTGAGAATGACTTGGATCTATAGATCAATTAACATCATTATAATACTGAATTGTCTAGTCCTTGAAAGTGGTGTATCATTCTGCATTATTAGGTACTAATGTGCAGAATTACCAATTCCTACTGTTCTAGGTACCAGTGCTTTGTTCATAATAGGCAATTGATAATATTTGTAGTTTGAATGAATGGTCATAGTAAAGATGCATGTAGGCATATGTGCTGTTTTTGAAAGGCTTAGTGTACAGTTTCTGCAAGTTTATTTCCTTACAGCTTTGTCAAATGGCCATCTTTATATTTCCAGGTGGACTGGTTCAGTGGTTACAAAATGTCCCTTGCTACCATGAGGTCATTGGCAGGAGACCAAGGTTTGGACCTCACACAGGATGTGAAACCTCCAAAAAGCCTATATATAGAAGTAAGTATACCTTTAAAAAAATGGGTGTTTCTTTAATGCTTAGAGTGTGCTTACTTTTGTCCAAAGGAGGGGGTATATGAATATATACTAGTGTATATAGGCATATAACTTGGAGACACCATAGGTTTGGTTTCTGATTCACAATAAAGCGAATATTCACTAAAACATGTCACACAAATCTTTTGGTTTCCCCGCGCATGTAAAACATGCTTACACTCATCTGTTGAGTATGTCTTAGCATTATATACATATTTTATTGCTAAAAAATTCTGCTCTCTGACAATGCAGAGTTGACACAAATCTTTAGTTTGTAAAAAAAAAAAAAGGAAATCAATATTAGAGAAGCACAGTAAAGCAAAGCACAAACAAGAGAGGAAACAAACCCAAGCCAAAACGTTTGCCTGTAGTGGGAATAGGATTGAACAATTAAAAATTTCTGGCTGTACCTGTTTTTAAAGTTTTAACTTTAGAACCATGTAAGTATTTTACACATTGTTAAAAGAAAATGAAATCAAAGTGAAAAACCAACCCAAAACTCTCTCTGGCATCTCCTTCAGTTTCCTTGCTGTCCGTGCTGACCTACACATATGTTCAGAGATTTGCCATTTTTCTTCCTCCCCATCAGAACTGGACAGTTTGAACTTCTAGAATGCCTCAGGAAAGAATGCTAAGCCTAACTACACAGAGAGGACACAAACAGAGCCTAATGCTTACCTGTAGGTGCATGTACAGTGCCCAGCTACTGGATGGTTACTCCATAATAAAAAATAATGTAGATATTGTAAAACATTAGTTTTTCTTTTCAGGTGCGGTGTCTAAAAGACTACAGAGAATTTGAGGTTGAAGATGGTACTTCAGTGCTATTAAAAAAAAACATAGCCAGGGATTTACTGTCTTAGGATACTTTAAATTTTTAAGAGTGTCAAATGATGGAAATGTTGGAATCAGTAGTAAACTGAATACCACCTTGCGATGATCATTTGTGTCATAGACATTAAGTTTATCATAAAATATCCTTTTATCCTTTTCCTAAAAACTTGAAGCAGAAAGGGACAGTACAGTTGACCCTTGAACATCATGTAGGGATAATGGGTGTAGTCAGACTCCCCACTCCCCACAGGCTGTAGACACACGGGCTTCCATTGTGGCAGCACGCAGACTTGGTAGATGTGGAATGTGGGCTCTGTGGCATGTGGATTCTAGAGTTTGTGGGCAGAAGCCTTCCTCTTGATGAGACTTTGTCTCTCAGTATCAGTCTGTAAAGCTGGGGTAACTTAAAAGCATCATCTCCTGTAGTGGACATTAAGGGCCTCTAACATGTCTGAGCACGTCTGAAATACATTTTCTATAAAATCTGTGTAATAGATCACCCACATAATGTGAAATATTAATAGGGAAACATTTTCCTACCATACAGTCCTTTATTCTTGACTCTATGGGGCATGTTTCTCATTGCCCAGAAATGAGAACAAATGTCTTTAGTAGACATTGGAATAACTGTTCAGTGAACAATTCCATCATTTTTATTTTTTTCTTTTTCTTTTTTGCATTTCATAGTTGTAAGACTTAAAAATTCAGTTAAGTTAGACATCAGCCCTTGGCCCATGGGTCTTCATGACTGGTTGGCAGGAGTTTCTTTGGCCGTGGGTCCCACGCGAGGCCTTTGAGCTTGTAGAGAACTGTCAGGTGCATAATGCTGCTGAAACAGCATCCGCTTCCTTGAGCACTTGCTGTTCTCGCTCCTTCAGTTCCTTTCTAGAGTTCTCTACGCTGCACTTTCTAATGCACTGTTTTTCATTTTTGCTCAAGTATCTATATCTGTCTAGTCTTTGAGATTCGTTTGGTCACCTGTGAGCTTGAAAAGTCTTCCTGCCTCACTCCCTGCACCTCCCCATACCAGAATTTAGTAAATGTTCCCTTGTGTGTTAAGCCCTGCTGTTTGGAAGGGAATGAGACCAGGAGATGGCGTTCCAGCTCAGAATGAGAGCAGTGTGCTCTTGGGAGATATGGAGGATGAGCCTTAGCTGGGCACCACTTTCCTCACACACAGCGTGTGGCCAGCATTCTTGAGTTACAAAGACTTTTCATCTTGAAAAATATGGGAGAAGAGTTGTGCTGTTAGTAGAGGAATGACTGTTCAGACATAGATCCTCGAAGAGGTTTAATGGAGAATACACTCCTTGCCTTCTTAGTGAACTGTTGCCACAGCCCTTGTGGTCCGTGGCCCAGATCACCTACCTGGCTTTCCTGTGTTTAAATCTTAAAATGCGAACACTGAGGCGAATACCTACTAGAATTCATAAGTCTTTAGTTTAAATTTAACCTAAGCAAGGAATGAGTTTGTGTATAAAATTCAGAGTTTAGTACAGCTCTAAGTAACATCAGTTTCAGCTGATGAAAATAGCAAATATGCTTAAGCTTAGCCTTTAACTCCTTCACTGGTGCAGTTTGAAATACTCATCATGTATTGCTGCTTTTTAATGACACAACATGTAATTTAAAACACCTTTCATTCCTCTCTCTTCCTCCCCCTCTCCCCTGAGCACTTCTTACCTCGGTGGAAGTATGAGCAGCTGATTAGACAGGGCGCTCTGGAGCACGTGCTGTGGTGACCCCTGGCCGGATGTCTGCCAAGACTCCCTCCTGGTGTGAGACTGCACCAACCTAGGTCACTTCTCCACCTCCCTCAACCTAGGTCACTTCTCCACCTCCCTCTCTACCTCTCCAAGGCCCACTGCTTTTTGGTTCTAAAATGGAAACTTTATTTAAGCAGGAATGCTTTGCAGAAGAGTATGGTTTGTTTTCTTTCTTTCTTTTCATTTGGATGTTAATTTCTCTTTTTTTCATTTCTGAATATAATTCTATTACCTTCCATGGTAAACATATTTGTGAATCTGTGTTGTATGTTTGTACTTTGAAGTATCAGTTCTCAAAAGAGAGTTTACACTCTGGCCATACAGAGAATCCACACACATCCACCCTGCTGTCCACAGCTCTACAGCAGAGTCCAAGATCAGGGTTCTAGCAGACGCTGTGCTTAAAGAGAATGCTTCCCGGCTCGTGCACTGCCATTTCTCATTCTGTCCTCACAGCGTGCAGGAGGTTTGAGTTTCTATTGTACAGGATTCTCCCCTTTGTGTAGTAAGCTGTCTCTGTAATCACAGAGTCCTACAGTTCCCCAAATGCTACCCTGTGTTTCAGTTTCATGCCAGTAAACACCTGTTAGATGTTCCTCTCTTTTAAACACTGAGGGAGAGTTTCACCTGGTGTGAAGGGAGGCCTCGTGTCCCTCTGCTTCTTGGATTGTTGCTGGAAGTGTGCTGTGCAGGCCAGGGAGCTGCGTTTCTCAAGTTTGTTTCCAAATCACATGGGCAGGTAGAGCTGGCGGTCTCTAAAGGACACAATGGATTTTGTCCATTTCCAGTGGTGGCTGGTCTTGCTCGTGCCTGTCTGCGAGCTTGTGTCGCAGGATATCCATTTTGGAAAGGGAAGTTGAGATTGGGGCTAGGAAAGGAATTTTGTGCAATTTCGCCCCAAGAGTCACATTGACAAAAAAGTCACATGAAGAGCTGATCAGCTAAGTGGAGGGCAATTTCTACTGTCCATTGAAATGATAGGCATCGGAGAGGCACAAGGGGGTCCTACTTGCTGGTCAATACCCTTTCTCCACCAGTCCCCTCCATGACCAGCCCAGTAATCTCAGAGACATTCAAGTTTAAAACCCAGATAAACCCAGTACCTGGCACTCTGTACAATTTATTTCTTAGACAGGAATATTTCAGGCCAAAATTATACTCAAGTGGTCAAGCTACGGGAATCCTCTACCTAGGGTGTGGATCTGCATATTTTCACAACACACATATTAAAACTTAGGTCAGCAGGCTGCCCTTGGCAGATTCTTTTCCAAGCTGTGTGGCTCACAGGATCTGGTTCCTGACCAGGGATTGAACCTGCACCCTGGGCATTGAAAGCACAAAGCCCTAACCATGTACCTCTAGGGAATCCCCTCATTTTTAAAAACAATTCTTTCCATAGATTTATAGCCAGATCAGATTTTCATCTGAATCTCTGCCAGTAAACAATAAGGAAAATTTCTCTAGTGAATGGGATGGGTGATGTTTTACCTGTAGGCCAGTGGTCACGTCCCTTGCGTTCTGCTCTTCCAAGCATGTGGAACCATGTGCAGGGGAGCCCAGAGTCCATGTGAGTCAGCTGTGAGGAGGAACCTGCAGTAAAGGCCAACGCCCTGTTGCCAGGCCAGCATCATTCCTGTGTATAAACCGTGTGATGTACTTTCCCGATTCATTCCCAAAATAAAATAATAAGGATAGTTCTTATTTGAAGTAAATGTATACTGGTTGAAAAGTTAAAATTTTATAGGTTTTATTGATTTATGTTGGTTGTTTCTATAGAGTTGTGTCTAGAATTTTAAAATATATGTTTTTTCTTAATTTAAAGGTAATGCACAATTAAAAAGATAAAAGAAAACATACAATGTAGAAAATCAAAGTAAGTTCCCATTTTACCTACTAATTGCCACCGTCCAGTGTGCCCATTGTTAACTGATTACGGATATAAAATGCAATCCCATTTCAGGTGTTTTTCCAATGAAATACTTTTCAGTTTTTGTTCCTGATGTGAATAGAATCTACTTTTCTGTTACATTTTCTAACTGGTTTTGGCTGATAAATATTAAAAAGCAGTAAATGATGATGATTTGGCCACTTTCCTATATAAAGTCATTTCTTTTTCACATTGATTTTGTCATCTGGAACTTTCGGAAAAATGTTGACTACTGCTGGTAATACTGCATATGTGTCTCTGCTTTGTCCGTGTTTTCAGTCATCTGTTCCTATGAAACAGCCATCCAAACACAATGGCTTTAAATCACACGATTTGATTGACTTTCCCAGCTCTGCAGGTTGGCTGGGCTCTACTGGGAGGTTCTGCAGCTCTTACTTAGGGTCCCTGATGCAGGTGCATTCCTCTGGTGGCCTGACTGGGATGGCTTGGCCTCTGTTCTCCATGTGGGCCTCTTGCGAGGTTCTCTCCAGTGAGCTGGTTGGGCTTCTTACCTGGCAGCTTGGGACCCTGCAGGGTTAAGAGGGTAGATGTGGGTGCTGCTAGTTTTCTGAACGACTAGGCCTGGTAGTGGACTAGCACCATTTTCTGCCAAATTCAGTCAACTAATACAGCCCCGGTTGCTCAGAGTCAGTGAAGAGGCCGCGTGGACCACATAAAGGCAGAACAGCAAGAGGCCCCCCAGTCAGATGGGGTGTGAGTGTTCTGGTGTCAGTTTTTAGTGGTGCAAGTTCCTTTATCTATTTTTTATAGACATGTACCTTTGAAAGTGGCATTGATACCTATCTAACTATCTCAGTATAAATCTTCTTTGGAGAGAGATACTTGATGATTTTTTTCTTTTCTTTAGTTTATAGTCAAACTTTTCTACTTTTTCTTAAGTAAATTTCAGTTAGTCTTTTTTCCTAAGCTTTTTTTAATCTATATTTTGAAATGTTTTAAGGCAGTTTTTTTTTTCATTTCATTACATATGATTATCCCTAATATGTGTCTGTTTTTCCTTTCTCATCTTAGCCCTATAACTGGAAGAAGTATCTGTATTGATACTGTATTAATCCTTTAGGATGTAGAGGAGGGAGGTGCTAATTTCACGTGGTCTATTGCTTTTCACAATTGGTGGTATTTTAGGATGAGTTGAATTTATTCTATTTTGTGACATTACAAAAACAATGTTTTCATATAGAACAAAATGTAGTAACAAAGAAGGCAGCCATCTGCAAGTCAAAGACAGAGGCCTCAGGAAAAACAAACCTGCTAATAAGTTTGATCTCGGATTTCTAGCCTCCAGAATTGTAAGAAAATAAATTACTTTTGTTTCAGTCGCCCAGTCTGTAATATTCTGTTTTGGCAGCCCCTGCAAACTAATAGAGGACATTTAGTATCTTTTTTTTTTTTTTAATGTATTTACCTAATTGACAGACACTTGAACAGATTTCATCCTTTTGCTGTTATAAACAAAGCTATATGTGTACCCTTGTAGATATATCATTTTATACATGCACAGCTTGGTGTGTAGGATAATTGTATTTTTGATGGCTCTTGCTGAAATATATAGGAATTATAATTTATACTACACCAGGAGTTATGAGAGTCACTCCCCCTAACCTTCTTTGCCAACAGTATGTTATTTCCAGTTGGGGCTGTTACAGAAAAGATGCCAGGAACATTGATATACAAGTCTGTTCCAAGTGTGTATTTCCTTTTCTTTGGCCAAATAACTAGGAGTAAAATGGCTGGGTCTTAATGTAGGTGTGAGTTTAACTTTTGAAGAAACTTCCAAACTCCTCCAAGGTGGTTGTGCACTTTGCATACACACCAGCAGTGTATGAGTTCCAGTTCTGCATCCACTCCAATACTTGGTATGGTTAGTGTTTTAAATTTTACCCATTCTAATGGGTATCTCACTGAGATTTTAATTTCTATTTTCCTAATGACTTATAAGAGATGGGAATACCAGGCCACCTGATCTATCTCCTGAGAAATCTGTATGCAGGTCAGGAAGCAACACTTAGAACTGGACATGGAACAACAGACTGGTTCCAAATTGGAAAAGGAGTATGTCAAGGCTGTATATTGTCACCCTGCTTTTTTAACCTATATGCAGAGTACATCATGAGAAATGCTGGGCTGGATGAAACACAAGCTGGAATCAAGATTGCTGGGATGAAATACTGAAATATAGAAATATTGATATTTCTATCAGTAACCTCAGATATGCAGATGACACCAGCCTCAAGGCAGAAAGTGAAGAACAAAAGAGCCTCTTGATGAAAGTGAAAGAGGAGAGTGAAAAAGTTGGCTTAAAACTCAGCATTCATAAAACTAAGATCATGGCATCTGGTCCCATCACTTCATGGCAAATAGACGGGAAAGCAATGGAAACAGTGACGGTGATTTTTCTGGGCTCCAAAATCACTGAAGATGTTGACTGAAGCCATGAAATTAAAAGATACTTGTTCCTTGGAAGAAAAGTTATGGCCAACCTAGACAGCATATTGAAAAGCAGAGACATTGCTTTGCCAACAAAGGTCCATCTAGTCAAAGCTATGGTTTTTCCAGTAGTCATGTATGGGTGTGAGAGTTGGGGAATAAAGAGAGCTGAGGGCTGAAGAATTGATGCTTTTGAACTGTGATGTTGAAGAAGACTTGAGAGTCCCTTGGGCTGCAAGGAGATCCAACCAGTCCATCCTAAAGGAAATCAGCCCTGAATATTCATTGGAAGGACTGATGTTGAAGCTGAAACTCCAATACTTTAGCCACCTGATGCAAAGAACTGACTCATTTGAAAAGACCCTGATGCTGGGAAAGATTGAAGGCGTCAGGAGAAGGGGATGACAGAGGATGAGATGGTTGGATGGCATCACCGACTCAATGGACATGAGTTTGTAAAACCTCCAGGAGTTGGTGATGGACAGGGAAGCCTGGTGTGCTGCAGTCCATGGGAACAGAAAGAGTTGGACACAACTGAGCAACTGAACTGAACTGAACTGATGTTGATATTTTCATAAAATTTGAAGAACAGTGTAGATGCATAAAAATATATTAATAAAATTATGAAACAGAGACTTCGCTCATAGTGTAGAAAAACTTGATATAGTATTAATAGTTTGTCTTAGGGCTCTCCCTTAGCAGTGACTATCTAGTTAGCTTTCACTTTCTGCCAATCTCATGAACCACACTCTATAAAAATTAGGCTTTAGAGACAAATTAATGACTTAAATTTCTTTTCTGTGATTCTGTGTTTTGACTCACTTGTGTAGTTTATCTTCTAATGACTTTCTAACGTCTAGTTTTACTAAGTACAATTTCTTATATTTTTCCAACTTGCTTTGTTAGAATCTTCATGCAAGGTTTTCATCTTGGAGAGTTCAGATTCCAAGACGTTAATTCTGAGTTCCATCTGTTGAAATCCTGCTTTTATCTAAAGCAAATTGAAAAAGGTAACATTTTTAAAATAATTATAACCTGGAAAGTTATATTTGTTCCCTTTAGTGTTGAGTCAGTTTTTCAGAGAGAGATTTTAAAAGTGAAAAAAAAAATAGAACAGAAGTTTAAAATAATTATTGACAATGTCAAGTGAATTAAATCTGAATTATAAAATTAAAGTGAAATCATTATTATAGTAGTACTTATATACTGACAATTCAAAGAATAAGAGGATCAACTTAAAATTTTAAAAATTGAACAAGACAACTTAAGAATAATTCAAGAGGATGGTACTAACTCTAAACCACAATGTTTCCTGTTATTCCTCATAGTCTTGTTGTATACCAATTGATCTTATAAGTAAAAGGATTCTCTTGTGAGAATCATTCTGATAGGTCAATTTAGTGATAAGTGTGATGAAAACTGAAATATATAAAGGGAGAACAAGTGTCCCCTTCTTTGAAATCTACAAAACAAACTGCTCTAAGGGAAATAGAGGAAACACGTAAGCTGTTTACATCTGGAATGTAATCTGCAGTGAAAGTGAATTCAAGCACATGACAGATCAACAAATTAACCTGCAAAAATAGTTTGACTTCTTTTTATTTCTCTGCTAGATCCTGTCTTCCTCTTTCCTCAGTCTCCTGTTTATACTGCTCAACTTGACTGTGTTCTATTATATTCTTTTTTCTATATGACTTTTGAGATTCACTACTTCTTGCTCCAACTTCTTTTTCTTCTCTCTAGTTTTTCACATTTCTTTTGCATTCCTTTCATAGATAATAACTCCTATTGAACACTTGATTTTTCTGCATCCAGTGCAGACATTTTGAAAATGCAGTTTCCAGCTCTGCTGGAAGATCATCAGTCTTCAGGAATACAACAATACCAATTGGTAATGAAGAAAGTGGACTGAGCACAGACTAACTCAAACCCAGGATCAAATAAATATCTATATTGTAGAATGTAGGACCAGGAATTACTCAGAGAATCAAGAAAGATGTTCACACCACCAAGAGTCACAAAATATATTCTTCACTGTCATCTTTGTCACACAAAGTTTGTACTTGATTTTACACTCTTTAATTGTTCTACAGTAATATTTTTCTATCTTTCCTCCATAAAATGACTACAAGTCACCTCTTCGTAGACCGTCTCTTACTCCTTCCCCTCATCTTAATGTCCCAGGGTTTTAAAGAAGTTTGAGGGATGGATACTGTATTCAGTTATCTAGGGCTAAGTTAATAAATGCCTCCCAAAAGGAGACTGTGAGAATAAGACTCTGATTCATAAATCTTATAAATATAGATTCTAATCCCATAAGCCTTTTTCTGAACTACAAAGACTTTTTTGCTAATTTGAATGGCATTCCAAGGAGAAATCCCATTTCCTAATAGATTACTGAGATGATCCATACATTTTTCTCAACAGCAACAACAACAACAACAAAAAACACCTCATTCTTGTAATCCTTTGTTACTGTCCATTTATGCAAGACAAGAACTGTGCATATCAATAAATATACCCTGTTCAACCAATGTAAACTTAGCCAAGATTCTCCCCCATGGGGGTGGGGGTGGAGACGACAGTTTAAAATTAGGGGCTAAACTGTTCCTTAGAGACTAGATAACTGGAGCTGAAGTGAAAAGGCTCAATGAGAGCTGGACAGTCAAGAAATCTCCATGAAGAAGGAGAGACTCAGTGCCAGGTCTCACATAATGGAGGACTACCCAAGAGGACTTGGATTACTGTGATCTGTCATACTGAATGGTTTCCCTTGGAAATGAACAGAGATCACTCTGTCGTTTTTTGAGATTACATCCAAGTACTGCATTTCGGACTCTTTTGTTGACTATGATGGCTACTCCATTTCTTCTAAAGCATTCTTGCCCACAGTAGTAGATACAATAGTCATCTAAGTGAAATTCACCCACTCTGGTCCATTTTAGTTCACTGATTTGTAAAATATCAATGTTCACGCTTGCCATCTCCTGTTTGACCACTTCTAATTTGCCTTGGTCATGGACCTGATATTCCAGGTTTCTATGCAATATTGCTCTTTACGGCGTTGGACTTGACTTCCATCACCAGTCACATCCACAGCTGGGTGTTGTTTGTGCTCTGGCTCCGTCTCTTCATGCTTTCTGGAGTCACTTCTCCACTCTTCTGCAGTAGCATATTGGGCACCTACTGACCCGGGGAGTTCATCTTTCAGTGTCCTGTCTTTTTGCCTTTTCGTACTATTCATGGGGTTCTCAAGGCAAGAATACTGAAATGGCTTGCCTTTCCCTTCTCCAGTGGACCACGTTTTCTCCAAACGCTCCACCATGACCCGTCTGTCTTAGGTGGCCCTACACAGAGTGACTCATAGTTTCATTGAGTTAGACAAGGCTGTGGTCCATGTGATCAGATTGCTTAGTTTTCTGTGATTGTGGTTTTCAGTCTGTCTGCCCTCTGATGGAGAAGGATAGGAGGCTTATGGAAGCTTCATGATGGGAGAGACTGACTGAGGGGGAGACTGGTTCTTTTTCTGATTGGGGTGGGCGGGCGGGCGGCGGAGGGCATGCTCAGTAAATCTTTAATCCAATTTTCTGTCAATGGACGGGGCTGTGTTCCCTCCCTATTGTTTGACCTGAGGCCAAACTATGGTGGAGGTGATGAAGATAATGGTGACCTCCCTCAAAAGGTCCCATGGACACACTGCTACACTCAGCGCCCCTACCGTGCAGCAGGCCACCACTGACCCACGCCTCCGCTGGAGACTCCTGGACATTCACGGGCCTGTCTGGGTCAGTGTCTTGTGGGGTCACTGCTCCTTTCTCCCTGGTCCTGGTGTGCACAGGGTTCTGTTTGTGCCCTCCAAGAGTCTGTTTCCCCAAGCCTATGTAAATTCTGGCGGTTCTGTGGTGGGGTTAATGGCTACCTCCTCCAAGAGGGCTTATGCCACACCCGGGTCTGCTGCACCCAGAGCCCCTGCCCCTGTGGTACCCACTGCTGACCCGTACCCCCACAGGAGACACTCAGACACAGTTGTGTCTCGGCCCATGTGGGGGTCTCTGGGTCTTGGTGTGCACAAGGTATGTGTGAGCCCACTGAGAGTCTCTGGCAGGATTGGGGTTTGATTCTAAAGGTGATTTCGCCCCTCCTGCCCACTTGCCGGGGCTTCTCCTTTGCCCTTGGATGCGGGGTGTCTCCTCACAGACGTTCCTGTTCCACAGAGCCGCGTAGTGTAACCAGGAACGCGGAAGAGGCTGAAGCAGAACAGTTCTGTGAAGATCTACAAGACCTTCTAGAACTAACACCCAGAAAGATGTCCTTTTCATTATAGGGGACTGGAATGCAAAAGTAGGAAGTCAAGAAACACCTGGAGTAACAGGCAAATTTGGCCTTGGAGTACAGAATGAAGCAGGGCAAAGGCTAATAGAGTTTTGCCAAGAGAACGCACTGGTCATAGCAAACACCCTCTTCCAACAACACAAGAGAAGACTCTACACATGGACATCACCAGATGGTCAACACCGAAATCAGATTGATTATATTCTTTGCAGCCAAAGATGGAGAAGCTCTATACAGTCAGCAAAAACAAGACCGGGAGCTGACTGTGGCTCAGATCATGAACTCCTTATTGCCAAATTCAGACTTAAATTGAAGAAAGTAGGGAAAACCACTAGACCATTCAGGTATGACCTAAATCAAATCCCTTATGATTATACAGTGGAAGTGAGAAATAGATTTAAGGGACTAGATCTGATAGACAGAGTGCCTGATGAACTATGGACGGAGGTTCGTGACATTGTACAGGAGACAGGGATCAAGACCATCCCCATGGAAAAGAAATGCAAAAAGGCAAAATGGTTGTCTGAGGAGGCCTTACAAATAGCTGTGAAAAGAAGAGAAGCGAAAAGCAAAGGAGAAAAGGAAAGATATTCCCATTTGAATGCAGAGTTCCAAAGAATAGCAAGGAGAGATAAGAAAGCCTTCCTCAGTGATCAATGCAAAGAAATAGAGGAAAACAACAGAATGGGAAAGACTAGAGATCTCTTCAAGAAAATTAGAGATACCAAGGGAACATTTCATGCAAAGATGGGCTCAATAAAGGACAGAAATGGTATGGACCTAACAGAAGCAGAAGATATTAAGAAGAGGTGGCAAGAACACACAGAAGAACTATACAAAAAAGATCTTCACAACCCAGATAATCATGATGGCATGATCACTCATGGATTTGTTTTTAAAATCTTTTGTTACTTTGGCAAAGTAAATAAGTATTATTTCATGATGATCCATGAAGATTATGGTACCTGTAGAGAAAGATTATCCTGCTTCTACAAAATTAACCCCTCACTGTCAAACTATTGCTGTCCTGATGTCCTTGAAACATGGCAGTAGTCTACTTCTAAATTGGGAAATTTAAACTGGGTAAGCAGTAGCTATAAACCAAACAGCCAGGGCTATGGGAAATCCAAGATGGCCACTTGGCTTTTCCCGGCTCCCTGATGAACATCATTTTCATTTGATGGGATAAAGCCTTCCCTGGCTACAGGGTTAATGCCCTCACAATGAAAAATGTTCATGTTTCACTGAACTTTGCATTCTGGTTTTGTTATTCACTTCTGAGATAGTTCCTTGTTGCTACATTGTATTGTTAAGATTTTCATCAAGTTGTTAAAAGGACACTCTAACTTTGTTTCTAAAGCTTTGTTTCAATAGTCAATCTCTGAATAAAGATCAAATGCTCCATGATGTACAACCAGGAAATTCACAGCTGACTATAATCATTTAACTAAGTCAGATGACCTGGGGTATATTGGGCTATACCTAATGAAAGTGCTTGACTTAAATTCTTGCTTGTGACCTAACTAATAAATGCTAGCTATATTAATTTATATTTCTGTGTTTCCTGTTTCAGAAAATTGTTGTCTCTTACATTGCCAAGTATGTGACGGAGCCACTGATGAACTAATGATAATGTATAGTGCCATAGGAGATCAATGATTGAATACTGTAACTCTAGATATGGGAGGAAGCAACAAGACGGAATATTTTCCTGGACCAAGAGGCTAGTAAGACAGGTATGGTTCAGAGACTTTTGCTATTCACAGGGCCTAGTCCAACTATAGCACACTGAGTGGCCTATCAATGGAATCTTCGCTAGACCTGGAAATGAGCCTTTCCAGCCCCATGGGACACAATGGCCATGAAATGCCCCCAAAGCATGGTCAAATCTGTGACTATGAAGGGACCCTGTCAACTGAAAACTGGCACTTGCAGACTGCCTCTGCAAAGATTAAGTCATGGCCACTATGGCTGCTAAACCTCAACACCCCTTGACAGGAATTCAGGGTGGCTTTCAGAAATGAGGCACTCAATCTGTGCTCTGGGAAAAATGGACAAAACCTGCCTCCAGATAGTCAGATGTTTTCAGGTAAAGATGTGGTCTTTTTTATGAGCCCCAATTCTTGCCTCTTCTCATACCTACAGAAACACTAACATCATGCACCAATGTCTGATCCCAACTCTTCTGTCTAGCCTTTCTCCTAGGCACCCGGGCAGCTCTTCTCTACCTTTATGCATCGGTAGCCCTCTTGTTAAATCTGTTTCTTTGAGAATGCAGCAAATGGATCTCCAAATGGTAGCACAAAAATATCACCTGGCCAACAGCCAAGTGTTCACCTGCCCTACTGTTAGCCAATAGAAGCATGAAATCACACAGTTTTGCAAAGGTGGTTAAATTATCTAGACTTTGATAACTGCACCTGTGTACTGACAGACTGTGGCAAGGCTACAGAAGGACTGCTGAATGGATCAACTTCTCAACTTTGAGAACTCTGTTTATTGGAACACTCCGTCAAATACTGTGAATGGACTGTTTTCACTAAATCCTACAATATGTACTACATAGTTACTTACAGAGTTAATAAGACTGTTTGTGTTATTTTGCCTTGTTCCAATGTTCTTCAGCCTAACCAATCCTGGGGCAGACTATTAGCGAAATGTAAAAAAGTAGTCTTGTTTAGGCTTCAGAGACAAAGCAGAGCAGGCCTCTGACCTTGCTTCTAACCTGCCTGGACACTGCCCTGACTGGGAGTGACTGGGAGTGACTGCCTGCTGTGAGTGCAAGACCTGCAGAGCCACAGACAAGAAGAGGGAGAGATCCTGAGACTGTTGAGCCCCTGGAGGGGGCCTGGCCAACCAAGCCCCAGGCTTAGTCACATTCCAAGTTTTACAAGACAAAACAAACAGCACTAACAGGAAGCCAGGCTTGCAGTTTGGTCACAGATTGATGATGATACCAGTTTGCCTCCATCCTGGGATTATAAATGGGAACCCTGGACTGAAGTCTTTGAAGTCTCACCCATGGAGTGGACTCGCTGCTTGGGACCCTTTCCGAGTTGGTACTCCAGATGTGCTGTGACACAAATGGACTTCCCAGTGCTGATTAAGTCTGGATGTTTGTCAAAAACCCGATTTGGTGATGTATTATCTACTTTTTCTATTTATCTTTTCTTTTAATGTTAGTTTGTTGAAAGTAAGCCAGACAATTCTCTACTAAATATCTATATTATTTGCTGGTATACAATGAGTGGCTTATTTTGTTAACAAATCCTTTGAACCTGAGATGAAGGTGAAAACTTTGAGCAAAAGGGCAAGTAACAGACCTAACGAGTGAAGTGTATTGTTTCCACTGCTTGTTTTCATCAGGTGGGCCCTTAGTGGGTTAAAAGGAGGAAAGGCAGTTTGCAAATTTAGTGGGAGCAGCAGTGACTTCCAAAAGGTTGAAGTTTGCTGAGAATGCGTGCTGCAGAAGGCTACAGCTTGGTAGGTTAGAGGGTTCTGGAGTTGCAGACTATTTAGAGCCAAGCATGGTAGTTGGCACAGTGGAGAATTTGGGCTGAACGACAAATTTCAGAGGATCCTGAGATTGGGTGAAGAATAAAACACAAGAGTACTGACTGCTGGAAGAAAGAGGAGGTATTCAGAGCTCAGCCTGGAGAGAAGTCTGTCTGCAACCTGGGGTTTCATCCTTGGCCTTGTTAGGTAGTATTTTCATCAGTTAGTTGGGCATAGAAATTGGTAGCCTGTTGTTAGGGTGTGTGGAGTACACAGAACAGCAGGAACACTTTGCAGTGACTGTGTTTAAGGATAGATACTGATGACGAGGAACTGATGTGCAAGAGGTCTGCAGTAAATGTCAGGGAAATGCAATCAGGTTCCCAAGTCCTTCATTTGTTCCTGCAACAGATATGCACTCAGCAGTTATGCGCTGACAAAAGGCTCTGGTGTTTCCATTTTAAACAGCAGAATCAAAACTTTGCCCTGGGGTCCTCAACAGTGTCATGCAGAAGGCAGATGTTAAATGCAAGTAAACCAGGTCAGAGTACCTTCCATGAAGGAAAACACCACACTTGGAGAGATAATCATGTCCTGAAAATATAAGTAGATTGAGGAATGAGGGAAACTCTCTCTGAGGAACAGACACTTCAGGTGGAACCTGAGGAAGCAGGTTTTAGCGAGGAAGTAACTGTGGGCAGAGAGCATTCTAGTTGGAGGAAACAGCATGTACAAAGGCCCTGAGTCTTGAAAGAGGGTGGGATGCCCAGAGACCTGGGCCTTCCCAAAGGTCAGTGTGGCTGGAACTTAGTGAGCAGGCTGAAGGCAACACCAGGGGAGATTTCTAAGCATGTGGGCAGGTGGTGGCATGTTTGTGTTCTAAGGACGACCCTGGCCACCGTGTGTTTAGTGGATGGTGGGATCGAGAGGGAGGATGGTGGTCATGCAGGTGACAGGAGAGGTGAGCCAGACCAGGGGAAAGGAGAACAGTTTACACACCTGTTTAGGAGGTGACTGAACAGGCCTTGGTCCAGTAAGGGAATGATTTTCCTCTATTCGTACCATGGGGAAATTCATGATCCAGAATTCTGTGCCGTATCCTCCTAGTTTGGTTCTGGGCAGGACACCACTATTACCAGTTTCTGGTTAAAATTCTTTGTCAGAAGAAATATATTCCTATTTAATTGCTCGCATGGAAATGTGAATTTTTTAAGGAAGTTCTTGTGTACTGAATCAAGTTCTTTGATGTTAAGTTGGATGTATTTTATTTGTGCTATTTATTTTAATCAAGAGCACATTGTAAGCAGTGTGGAGAATAAATCTAACATTTCTAGAATGGCAGAAGTGTTTAGAACAGATCTAGAAGACATGGTACATCTATGTACATGGTACAGATCTAGAAGACACAGGACATATATTTTGCATTTCCAGGGTCTAGAGCAGGCACATACATTTTGTATTTATCTGTTCCTTTTGACACTCCACAATAGATACTTCTTAATTCTGTACACCTGGTTTTGTTTTCCTTTTTTTTCAGTTGTGGTTAATTTGGTTAATTGAGATGCAGGTTCAATTCCTGGGTCAGGAAGAGTCCATGGAAAAGGAAATGGTAACCCACCCCAGTTTTCTTGCCTGGAAAATCCCATGGTCAGAGGAGCCTGGCAGGCTACGGTCCACGGGGTCAGAAAGATTCGGACATGACTGAGTGTCTGAGCACACATATTGTTGAGTGTATCTGTGTATTCAAAACATTCATAATGTCTTATAGTCATTACCACCACCACCTTCTCCAGAACTCATCTTACAAAATTGAAACACCATACCCAGTAAACAATTGTAGATCTGATTGGAAAGGGTGATACTTAACTGATATCTAAAGAGACATATATTCTGTAGGGGAAAACCAAAATTTTTTCCCTCAATTTTCTTTTGGACACTGGGGCAACTTTCTCTGTGCTCACTGAAGCCCCTGGTCCACTTCCCACGCGCAGCAACAACTGATGCCCACACACCCTAGAGCCTGTTCTCCACAACAAGAGAAGCCACCGCAATGATAAGCCTGCACACTGCAACTACGGAGTAGCCCCCACTCTCTGTGACTACAGAAAGCCCACGCATAGCAACAAAGACCCAGCACAGCAAAAAATAGTATTAAAAATATTTTAAAAATCTCCACTGCAGACACTGTTCCAGAGACCCCAACCTATGAAAGCCTCTTGTTATCCATGATCAGCATCAACCATGGTTTATTGCCTCTAAAAATTCAGCTTTACCCAGTACCTGAGTGAGTGAGTGGAAGTCACTCAGTTGGGTACGACTCTTTGCGACCCCATGGACTGTATAGTCCATGGAATTCTCTATGCCAGAATACTAGAGTGGGTAGCCTTTGCCTTCTCCAGGGACTCTTCCCAACCCAGGTTTCCCACATTGCAAGCGGATTCTTTAACAGCTGAGCCACAAAGGAAGCTCAAGAATACTGGAACGGGTAGTCTATCCCTTCTCCAGCGGATCTTCCCCACCCAGGAATCAAACTGCGGTCTCCTGCATGGCAGGTGGATTCTTTACCAACAGAGCTATCAGGGAAGCCCACATAGTATCTAGCACCTTGTAATACATCCCTTTCTTTTTAAACTGAGTATTAGATTCTGTGGTTTGCGCAAAGCACTTTCACTGATACAATGATTCACACCAAAAATAGTTGCAGCAAAAAACACTCAAGGGAGTGAGAGTCTGGCATCCTTAGGGGTGAGACTGGGCATCCTCTCTGGTTGAGTTTGAAGGCAGTGAAGATCCTATTGTAGTAAAGGATGATATATGGTGAGGACTATTCATTTCTTGATTTTATTTTTTAAAATAATATAATGAGAACCCATGAGTTTGCTACTCATCCCAGGAGCTAAACTA